ATATCCTTTTGGTAGATTGACACTTTAATCATTATATAGTGTCCTTCCTTGTCTCTTATGTTACAATTTGGTTTAAAGTCTATTTTACCAGAAATTAATTTTGCCATTTCTGCTCTTTTTTGGTTATTGTTTGCTTGATATATTTTTTCCATTCTTTGATTTTTAGCTTATTTTTATCTTTGTGTCTAAGGTGTGTCTCTTGTAGGCAACATATTGATGTGCCATTTGTTAATTCATTTTATTACTCTCTGTTTCTTGACTGATGCATTTAACCCATTTACATTTAGTGTGTTTATTGATACATATGAATTTACCACTGTCATTTTGTTGTGCTTTTTGTTGTGGTGTTGATGGTTTCTTTGTTCTAATTACTTTTCTGTACTGAGTTCTTTTTTTATGGACTTTCTTTTCATTTCCTTCATTGTTCCTTTTGTGTTTGCTGAGTCTTTTTGGTTTTTCTTCTTTTTAATTTTGGTGAATAGATTTATTAATTTTCTTTGCAGTTACCCTGAAATTTACCTTTATCTTCCTAAGCTTAGCATAGTCTGTTATATCTTGATACCGCCTTGACTTCCTCTCCATATAGAAGTTGTGTAGCTACACCATTTATTCCACCTTTTTATTTTGAAGTTGTCACTGTTTACAGATTGACACCTCTGGTTCCCTGTTTTCAGTCTTGCAGCTTTATTTTTGAAAATTATTTGTCTTGGTTGGTATCTGGTTATTTTTGTCATATGTCTTAATCTCAGGTTGTTGTCTGATGCTGGTTTTCTGTCTGAAGGACTCCCTTTAATATTGTTTGTAAAGTTGGTCTGCTTTTTACAAATTGCCTTGATTTCTGTTTATCTGGAAATATCCTAGTTTCACCATCATATTTGAGAGACGATTTTACTGGATATGTAGTTCTTAATTGGCATTTTTTTTTTCTTTCAGGGATTTATATATGTCATCCCATTGCCTTCTTGCCAACATGGTTTCTGCAGAGAAATCAGAGCTTCGTCTTATTAGTTCCCCTTTGTGGGTGACAATTCATCTTTCCCAAGCTGCTCTCAGGATTCTTTCTTTATCTTTGGTTTTTGAAAGCTTGATTATAATATGTCTCGGTGACTTTCTTTTGGGGTCTGTCCTGAATGGGGTTCGTTGAGCTTCTTAGATGGATATCTTCTCATCTTCCATGATGTTAGGGACGTTTTCTGCCAGCAAATCTTCAAAGATTTTCTCTGTGGGTTTTTTTTTTTTTTGTCTCCTTCTGTTCTAGAATTCCTATCATGTCTAAATTATTCCTCTTGATAGTGTCCCACATAACTCTTAGACTTTCTTCATTCTTTTTTCTGAGTGTTTCTCAAAAAAATTAGTTTCAAGGGATCTGTCTTCTATTTCACTGTTTCTGTCTTCCATTGATTAAATTCTACTCATATATCCTTCCACTGAGTTACCTGTTTCTGAGATTTTATCATTAATCTTCCGGATTTCTAGTTGCTGTTTTTAATGCTTTCTGATTGTCTATTTATTTTGACATTTTGTTCTTGTATTAATTTCCTGAATTCTTCTAGAGTTTTGTCTGTGTTTTCCTTGATCTCTTTCTTGATCTCTTGGAGGATCATATATATACGTTTTTGAATTCCTTATCAGGTAGTTCCATCATTATTTATTCCTTAGGAAGATTTTCTAGCCCTTTGTTTTGATCGCTTGGTCGAGCCTTCTTGTCCTGCTTCTTTATGTGATTTGATATTGTCTGTTGTCTCTGAGTCATTAAGGAGTTCTTACGTTTATTTATTTAATTATATGTTTGTTTGCTTGGTCCTGATTTCTTGTTTTGTTTTGTTTTGATGTTTCTGGGTGATCTGCATGGGCATGCTACTCTGATCACTAGTCTGACAGCACCGGGGCATTCACCATCTGTTTCCTAATGAGTAGGGCAGTGGCTGGGAGTGTGAGCATGGCTCTCCATTTGCTGATCATGCATGCAGGGCAGCTGAGGGCAGGCTGGGGGGGGGGGTATTGGCCAGCACCTATCATTGATCTAGTGGTCCAGGTGCAGGTGGTGATATTCACCAAGTGGATGGTGGGACAAGTGTGGTGGGTGTGGTGGGAAATGGGAGATGTGTTTGTCACTGTTCACCAGGTGGGGGAGAATGTGTGGCGGGCAGGTGTGTGCTCATTTGCACAGTTGCTGCTGCTCGCTGGTTCTTGGGGGGAGGGTGAGTGGCAGGAAAGTGAACTTGCCATTGCGTGGTAGACTCTGCTTACTGGGTGGATGGGTGTGAATGGCAGTTGGGTACTAGTGCAGTCATGCAGTCGCCAACATTTACCAACTGCGGGGAGAGTGAGTGGTGGGTGGGTACTGGTTATGTGGACACCACTCCATGCCAGTTCAGGGAAGGAGGGAGTGGCTAACAGGTGGGCAGAGCAGTCACAAGGTCACTGACACTTGCCAGCTGGGAGGGGAGTGAGTGGTGGGCGAGCACATGTGCGGTTGCACGGTCAACGCTGCTGTCTAAGTTGAAGGGTGAGTGTGGGAGGTGGTCAGGTGAGTGCACAGGACTGAGCCTACTACTTCTCTTCGGGTAGGTGGGGGGGTGGCAGATGGGGCTGGGTTGGGGTAAGGGGAGCTCATATTATGGTCTCTGGTTGGGTGGGGTGGCCAGGGGTATGGGACTGTCTGCTGCTTCTGATCAGGAGTGTAGGCGGAAGGGGCATGTGCCCCTTCAGCTAGCACATGGGGGGGCCTGAGCACTTCCTGTTTGCTGTAGCCAGTGGTCAGGGCCTGCTTCCAACCAAGTTCTAGGAGGGTGGGGCCCCCTGGGGTCTGATTAGGTGGGGGGACCTTCCTCTGATACTCCACTGTTCCACCGCCTCCTGCACATCACTCACCTCAGAGGTCAGGCACCGCCACTCGTGAGTATACCTAACTCTGGATCCTGGTTCCCTCCCTGCTCTGTGGACGGCAGGATCTCTGGAATTCTTGTCTTCCTTTCTGTGTTTTCCTTCCTTAGATTGAGATCATGATCCACTCAGTTTGCTTCTCTATTGATGTGTTTATAAAGTTTCTCTGTCTTTTATGGGCATGCTGTGAAGTTACTGTGAAGTTACCTTCCTGTGCTCATCACCCAGGGTCACTGCTGGCTTTTTTTCAAGATTGCCATGTTCAGCTCTGTCCGATGGCAGAACTCCTCCGCTCCATTTCACTCCTCTTTTGCTGCATTCATTTAATTTTTTCTTCCAGTCAGTGTTTGATTCAATTCTTTGTCCTTCCTTTTTGAAGTTCAGGTTTCCAAGATTGTTATCTGCATCTGTTTCCCTTGGTTTCTTGGGTCTTTGCTGTAGAGGGATGGCATGATGCATCTGACTAGTTTGCCATCTTGGCACCTCTCCCTCTCTTTCGTCATTTCTGAAGTTAAATCTGGAATTTCTCACGTATAAAATCTTACTAGATCACAAGATCTAGTGATCCCTAGATCACTAGTCTAGATCACTAGACCAAAATCTTCCTAATCACTAAAACCTCAATTACTGTGAAAAGTGGATTCACTGGGCAATAATCTAGAAAAGTACAAATGATAAACCCTTTTCAGAGTTACATACTCAGTAGCAAAAATTCCATGGCCTGACATATTGGATTTTAAGGACAAACAATTTTTATTTCCACTTTTATTAAAGAAATCTCAGGAAGCATTCTATTTCCTGCGAATGTCCTTCCTTCTTGCTCTAGTTATGTATAGGACATGCTAGAAACCACTGCACACCATCTGTTTTCTACTTCCATCAAGAAAGGAATGTTGTTCGAAGATCTTCTGGAATTTGTCTGACTATGGTAATGTAGTGCAGAGCAGTTCTAAAAATAAAGACAGGATTCTTCTGTCCATTACCAGCAGCTCATTTCATCATTGTTGTTTACCAGTTGTAGCCTTGTGCCTTGTATGGTGGTTTCTGTTTCTCAGAAGAAGCTAAGAAGAGCCATTCTATTCCTGTGCTTTGAGGATGCTTGAGTACAAAGTCTTTTATTTACAATAATATTTGGCTCATACAAGGCGCCTGTGTCCTGCGGGAGTAATATTTGATGCATATAAGAACAATAAGCATACATGGGAATTGAGCCTGAGAAACAGAGTTGAAATTCCACAAATGAACAAGTGTTTATTTATTGCTATTATATTGAACCTGCAAATAAAAACCCATATTGAATTAGCGTTATTAAACAGGAGGCCTGATTTACTATCTTCTATTTGCCTGATGGAGCCGTGGTGGTGCAGTGGGTAACAGCTTGGCTGCTAACTGAAAGGTTGGCAGTTCAAATCCACTGGCCACTCCTTGGAGACACTATGGGGCAGTTCTACTCTGTTCTATAGGGTCACTATGAGTCAGAATCAACCTGACGGCAATGGGTTGGTTCGGTTTATTTGCCTGATAGGTGTCCCTGGTTGGTTAAATAGTTAATGCTCTCGGCTGCTAATCTAAAGGTGGGAGCTTGGAGTTCATCCAGAGGGGCCTTGGAAGAAAGGTCTGACAATCTACTTCCAAAAAATCATCCATTGAAAACTCTATGGAGAACAGTTCTAGTCTGACACACAGGGGGTCACCATGAGTTGGAATCTACTCAGAAGCAATTGTTTTGTTTTATTTTGGGTTTTTTTTTTTTTTTCCTTTAATTTGCTGGATCTAAAGGGTCAGCATTGATTTCATGGTTGTTAGGAAGTTTCCACCTATCTTTTTATACTCAGGGCTACCGCACTTTGAGACAGCCCCCACTGTACTTGTGCTTATCTGGATTCACTTTGATTAAATAAGGATTCCTAGAGTGTACAATCTTAGAATCTATTCTGAAAGATAATACAGAAATTTCCTAAGAACTTGAAAGTAGTATATGTTATCGTTAATAGATTTTCTCTGCCAATCTGTGCAATTTAAGGGAAGAACCTCAAGGTTATTTGTAATCTTATACTTCATGTTATATTTTATAATTTCATTTTATATCTAGTTCTTCGGCTTTTCCTTTCCAGATATTAGATCAATCATGTACCGAAATCCTGGAATTGCGGCCATCAAGTGTCTGTGTGGGGGGTAAGTATTTAGAATTTAAAAATACCATGTAAGAAATTGTATTTTTTTTCCTAGTTAAAATATATGATTTGAAACTCATGTTGGAAAGAGAATAGCAAAATTAACTTTTTTGGCATCTTTTTTCTGTAAGAATTTTTAAATAATTCCTTGAAATATTTCTATTTTAAATTCAAATTTTTAAGATTGCAGTGTTATTTTAAATAATGAGCATATTGTGTGACAGGCTTTTAGAATCTTCTGTATATTTAGTACAAGTTGAGACCTTTCCTATGGCAAGTAAAATAAAATATGAAATCTTTCCTTTTATTTGATTATACAAAGAGTCATGTATCTATGGACTTTGAACCCCATGCTTTGGCAGCCTGGCCAAGGTACAGTATCTGCCAGCTCAGGGCAGATAAGGAAGTGACTCATGGGAGGATGGCAGGAAGGAAGCAGGTGGCTTCATCAGCTGTGCTAAGAGCAGACCTCAGGTTTTAGCACCTCCAAGCCATCCTTAACCAGAGGATGTGGTTCTCTCTAGCCGATTTTATTTCTTCTTGGAGTTCTTTTAACTTGACTTCACTTAGAATATGAAATTACTGGGTTTGGTGGGGAAGGAAATGTACCGTGTAATTTGCCACAGAGCCTCCCAACCTTTTGCAAATGGTTTTGAGCTCTGCGCTTCTCTGGACTCTCTAGTGAATGATTATTGAAATGTTAAAGAAAAATAGCATACCTAAACATCCCTGAGCAGCATTACCTTTTCTAAGAGTATAGATTAATACATTTCTGACATAACAAAGAAAAAATAAATGGAAAAATAAGGGTAAGATGTAGCAATTATTTATTAAACTCCTATTACCTATTATGTGCTGGGCACATACTAGGTGCCTTGCATTTATAATTCCATGTAATCCTTATAACGACACTATTTGATAGTTTTATAATCTCATTTTTACAGATGGGGAAACTGAGGCAGAGAAAGGCTCAATGCTTGCTATTAGTAATTGACCTATTAGACCCTTGTTTGTCTGACTCCAAAGTCCATACTTTTTATTGAATGCCATTTTAAGTTTTATCTGCACTTTATTTTAACTTATAAGTAAAATTCCTTTCATAACATATTTAATGGAGAGGAAGATGGCAGTATATTTCTTTTATAATTAATTACTGTATATGTATTGGTTTAGGTAGATGGGAGGTGATGAGAAGATTAAGATTTAATCACTGTTAAAATAGTTAATAACAATTTCATGATAAAAGATGAAGAAATTGATCTTGTCAAGGATTTCATTCTTCTTGGATCAACAAACAAGGCTGATAGAAGCAGCCGTCAAGAAATAAAATGACATATTGCACTGGGGAAAAACTGCTGCAAAAGACTTCTTCAAAGTTTTAAAAGCGAAGATGTCTCTTTGATGATGACTAAGGTGCACCTGACTCAAGCCATGGTATTTTCAGTTGCCTCGTATGCATGTGAAAGCTGGACAATGAAAAAGGAAGACTGAAGAAGAATTAAAGCATCTGAATTATGGTGCTGGCAAAGAATACTGACTATACCATGAGCTTCCAGAGGAACAAACAAATGTGTCTCAGAGGAAGTACAGACAGGATGCTCCTTAGACTCGAGGATGGCAAAACTTGTCTTGCTTACTTTGGACATGTCATCAGGAGGGACAAATTACTGGAGAAAGACATCATGCTTGGTAAAGTAGAGGGTCAGCAAAAAAGTGAGAGACCCTCAAGGAGATGGATTGACACAGTGGCTGCAACAATGCGCTCAAACATAGCAACGATTGTGAGGATGGCGCGGGACCAGACAACGTTTTGTTCTCTTATATGTGGGGTCTCTACTAAGCAAAGCTGACTTGATGGCACCTAACAACAACAATAACAACATAATAGTTAATATAACATCTTGCAGCTAAGCACCAAGAAGTTACCTGCCTATCAAGATATTTAATCAGTTAGCTCTTCTTCTAGCAACATTTTCACTCCCTAACATTTAGTGACTTCTATATAGTTAAGGCAAAATAAGTTAAATCAACTTCCTTTAGTGCCTGCCCATAGAATATTAGTAGTCCAAAAATGCATGACCTCTATGAATTATAAATTTGTATGTACAAGAAAATGAAACCAAGATCAGCAGTACAGAGAAACTGTTAAAGAAGAATTCTGTAATGGGAGCATAGGTTAAAAAAAAACAAAACAAGACAAAAACCCAAAAAATACTACTACACATGACCATCCTGAGAATCAAAGAACAGGGATAATTGATTTTCTTTATATTCCCATACATTAATACCTGAAGGTAGAGAAAAACAAAGAAGTTTCTCTCCTGCTGCTATTTTCCCAAGGATAGAATTTGGGGAGGTTTGTATAGTATCTGGATGGGAATGATGGTTACACTTCAATTCTAGTATCTTGATCACTATGAGGGAAACACTTTGTTTTAAAAAAATAAAATAATGCATTTCTACGTGGCAGTGATTAGTTATCTTCACTGTGTTTCCCTAAAGGGTCTAAAAAGCAGGTGGATTTGGAAATAGAACTGTGTCTTCATTGTTATTGGTTGGCTGAATAGTATGAAAAAATTAAGTCTGTGTACTTTGATACTTTAGTTTCAAGTTGTCTTTATAAAAAAGTGAGTAAAATGTTTATTTTTTCTTTCACTTCTAGAGGAATTTCAAATTGTTTTGAATGGAAGAGGATTCATGTTGGGGAGTCGAAATGGCAGTGTGGTCTGCACGTACACTGTAAATGAAACATACACAAAGAGTAGGTTTTCTCATAGTCTCAATGTTACTTTAATATCTGCATAGCATATCAGAGTCAAGTGTTTTTTCCCTCCAGCTAAAACTAACTATATTACATTTTTTAATCAAAGAAGAAAGAAATGAAGTACCGATGATAATACAATAGTAATAATTATTATTTAGTAGCTATTGTATGATAGCAACATTTGTTCATAGCTTAATAAATGTTGGGTCCTGCCTAAGTAGCCTCATTTTACAGATGATGGTTTTGTGATTGAGAGAGTAAAATAACTTGCCTAGAGTCACAAAGGTAACATTGAACAGAGCTGATAGTTGAACTCAGTTTTCCTGACTGCACTCTGCATCAACTGCCTAATTGTCTTTCCCCAGACTTATTTCTTGTGATTCCTGCCTTAAAATCTAACTCTATCAGACTACTCTACTACTTATTGCCTATTTTATTGCCATTTGTTTTCTTTGTGTATCTTCCTAATAAGGCTTTTTGCTTTATAGATCTTTTGTATCCCCAGTGACTGTCCAGCACAGTGTTTGTTGATAATTATCATATTTATGGAAGAGGGTTTTATTTTTGCTGCTCTGACTTTCAAAAAAGCAGATGAGTAAAATCTTTTTATCCTCATTTGGAAAAAACTCTCCCTTCTAAAAAAGCTCTTAGTTTTCTGAACATTTTGTTTCTCCATTAAAACATGTTTTTCTCACGGCTCATTATAGACAGTCCCCAAGTTGTGAACATCCAACTTACATACAACCCCTAGTTACGAACCAACTCTTGTACAGCCTATTATATTAAAAATTCGAGGTACATACAATGATTCCTAATTAAAACATTATTATTATTATTACTGTATTATTATGTTAAAGATGTTTCAGTGTATCTGGAAGTTTTTCTCTAATGTTTTTATGCATAGAAAGGTACACTATATACTATGTACTAAGACAAACGTTTGACTAACTGATGTTAGATATGAACTGTTTCCAACTGTTCCGATTTACATACAAATTCCACTTAAAGACAGATTTAGGAACGGAACTCATTCGTAATCGGAGGACTGGTTGTATATTACTCTCTAGGAATTTATACTGTAATGCTGGTGGTGTTATTTTTTAAGAGATTTGTCTGCTGTTTTGCTGTTTATGTGATGGTACTAAAGACTGCAGTTGGCACACTTTTGGCCATACACAGTAAGAGTTCAATATGTGTTTGTTGAATTAAAGTGATGAGGATCTCAGCATGGTAAATATCATAAATGCCACTCTTTCCTATAAAGATCACTGTTTTGGTAAGGCAAGCCATGTTCGTAACAAACTTTCTTCGTAATCAGTTCCACAATTGAAGAAAACCAAGTAATTTTAATCAGTAACAATGTTTAAAACACTTTTGAAGTGACCTATATCTAAGAGTTAGCTTTATCTAACTCTTTATTTTGGTGAAAATATACACAGTCATACATCATTTTAACAATTGCTATGTGTACAACTTATTGACATTGATTACTTTCTTCAAGTTGTGCATTCTCACCTTCCTTCTCTGAATTGTTCCACCTCCATTGACTTAGACTCGCTGCCCCCTAAGCTTCTCATCTTACCTTTTGAGTTGCTATTATTAATTTGATCTCACATAGGTAATTCTTTAAAAGAGCACAATGCTCAAGGCAGACATACTTTACTTATTGAGATAAACTATTTTTCCTTCAAAGAAGACTTCAGGGGATAGTTTCAGTTTAAGATTTAAAGTTTAAAGATTATCTCATTGTGATAGTTTTGGGGGTTCAAAGCCTCAATGGCTCCAGAAATCTGTATTCCAATGAGAATTTTAAATTCTGTTCCACATTCTTCCCCCTTTGGATCAAGATTCTTTTGCAGAATCTTTGATAAAAATAATCATTTACCTCTTTTTGATTACGTTTCAGTTGATTGTAATATAAGCATATTTGATGTGTACTTGTTTGTTATTCCATTTATTACGGTATATCCTCAAAATATAAGTGGAGTCAGAATTTTTTTCTCATTCATGTTCTTGGATTATCCAGTTGATTATGTAACTTTTCTGACTATATATATACCTAGGTTATATTTCCTTATGTATTATTAAAATTCAAAGGGAATTTAATCACCTAGTACATAAAATGTATTTATTAAGTCATTTTCCCATGGGCATTCATCTTACTTTACCATTTGTAAATTCTACTTTTAAAATATGTATCATTTATTCTTAAAAATATAAAATGTTTGCAAAATTGAAGAGAAAAAGATGATAACTGTATAATGTTTGTAACTGTATGTGAACTTAGTCTAGTCAGAAAAATCATAATTTATGATTTGCCAATACTATATACCAATGGAGCATGTAATTTCTTACCATATTCTGTTTCTTTTCCTTCTCCTCTCTCTTTAGATGAGTATCTTTTTGTTTTTTTTATGCTAATATATCTAATTTTTCACATTTGAACTCTGTGTGCAGCATGCCCTTCATATGATTAATGAAACTGTGCAAAGTACATAAGACACTTTGTTAATTCAGTGGTATTTTATTTTCTAGGTGTAACACCAGTAAGTGTGCAGCTTAACTCTATGCTTTGTCCTGCACCTACTTTGAATAAAGCTGGAGAGTAAGTACTTAAATATTTTGGTTACAAATTATTAGAAAATGGTAAAAAATACACATTTTATTGTGTCGTATTTTGATGTACAGCATACGCATTAAACAGTAAACCACAAGTAAACCACTTTAGTTAGTATGTCAACTCTTCGTAGGTTGAAAATGGTAAAGTCTGTTTTATCTTGTTTCTTAAATATTACATCAAGGTTTTACAAATATTTATCCAGATGGGTTTGAGAACCACTGTTGGAGACTATAAATAAGTAGAGCCACAGCTATTCTTTTAGGGTATTGAACTTACACACACACACACACATAGTTGTAAAGTGAGTTTTTTTTATTTATTTTTATTTTTTATCTTTAATTGTACTTCAGGTGAAGGCTTACAGAACAAATAGTTTCTCATGAAACAGTAGTACACATATTGTTTTATGAACTTGGTTAACAACCCCACAACATGTCAACCCTCTAACTTCTCAACCTTTTTTTGGTGAAAATACACATAGCCAAAGATATACCATTTCAAAAATTT